CAAAATCTCTCATTTTTTTAGATGGGATAAATCTTAAGAGATGTTTCGGAGTAACACACGGCGGCAAGTTTTTATTAATCGCGGGTACCGCCGATAGACCCACGTCAATGCTGAAAATTCACCATTTGTCGCTACCGAAAAGAGATGATTCACTAATACTGTGCTCAAGCCCATCTCCAATCTCCTCTCATCTTCTTCGTGCAAATCATGAAATACAGAATGTATGTTGTGTAATCAATTTGTTCGTATGTGTAATTTTCTCACAAGTAAACACCTTCAAGCTGTGATTTATTTTTCTGATTCATGATATTGTTGTGTTTATGCAAAATTTTTGTCCATATAAGTAAAAATAGGTTGCGTCTGATTCTAAATTTCTAAGAATCGAACTAGGTTTTTGGCGTGAAGAAGATGGAGAATTGAGAGAAAATGATGTGGAGACAGTGAGGAGGAAAAATGCATAATTATGCACTTTTCTCTGGGCTCCATAATTAGCTCCCAATTGCCCCAATTTCTCTGGCTCAATAGCTGCGCCGGTTATGAATTTTTGCCAATGAGCAGGTTACCGAGTTTGTGGGCATCCGTTTTTATGTTGTTTTTACGCTATTTTTGTGTTGCTTTTAGGTTATTTTTATGTTTCTTGAAAATATTTTATTAATTTTTTTATATTAATTTCTTCTTGAAAGATGTTTTTCTTTATGTTACGATGTCAAAGGAAAAACTACAGGAACTTACCAAGAGTGATTAGTTAGTGTGACAATGGTTTCTGAATGATTCGGTCTTCTGTTTAACTTTTCTTTTGTTTTCGATTTTTTTTTTCTTTTAATCTGATTTAATTATTATGTACACAACCAATTGATTAATTTTTTTTTTTTGTTGGTTTATTTCTTTAGGCATTCAAGAAGAAGAATTTAAGAAGAAGAAAGAGATAAGTGCAGAAGAGAAAAAAAAATAACGAGAAGTGTGGGAATTAGAAGGAAGAGAGAGAAAGAGGGCAGTTAAAATTTTGAATTACTGTAACTCCTTGTTGGAGTATTTTTGACTCTTTGTTAGAGTAATTTTGAAATTCAATATATTTAAGCATTTTTATGGAATTCTTTTTCATAACTAGGTTAGTTATGTATTTTTCCCGTTAACAACATGGACCAATTTGGGCTTTCCTTTAACAGAACCCAAATATTGTCACGGAAGGGGCTATATTTTGAGCCCAAACAAAAGTGGTCTTTTCAGTTAACGGAGAAAGTTCTGAAATACGTAGACAGTTTTTAAGAACAACTACCAAATCATAATTTCCTTCCTATTTTCATGTATACAAGATTTTCTAATGTGAAAATTTGAAAAGTGATATTTGCACCAATTATTTGAGTGTATCATCAACAAATAATATTCTCATTAAAATTGTTGGTAGGTAGCCATATTTTTTCAACATATATGCATGCTTTAAATTAACTAAATTTTATACGTAACAAATCATCTAAATAAATATTGTGATATTTTATAATATAGATATGCATTTTTGTTGAAAGAGTAGGAATGTTCGCGCAAATTTATTTAAGAATTTGTGTAGTAAGATATTATTACA